GCCGAACGAAACATTCCATGAACCACGACGAATGTCCAAAAGGTGGCGAACGCCATTGAAGACAAGAAAAATTGAACAAAACGATAAAGAAGATGAGCGAAGACGAAATTAAAAAAAAAAAGGTTCTTCCAATTTCAAAGCTTCGCACAACCGTGCGAGCCACCAAAAGCTGTCTGCACGACGACACCTACAAAAAAAACTTAACGGCGACAACAAAGCCGCCATTAAATCCACCCAGTGCATGCGCTGACGACGACGAAGGACACGAACCACGCCACACTACCACCCGCTTGCCGATCGAACCATCCCGATTCTCTCTCTTTCTCTCTCTCTCTCTCTCTCTCTCTCTCTCTCTCTCTCTCTCTCTCTCTCTCTCTCTCTCTCTCTCTCTCTCTCTCTCCCTCCGCGAGGGCCTACATCAAAGCCAGGCGGTCGCGAAGCGCGTTCAGCAACAACTCCCCTTCGACGTTGGAGCTTTGTGGCCGCCCGCCTCAGCCGCCCCCGACAATACCCAAATCCACTCTGCGCCTGACGCCGTCCGGACCCACCTCCCATAACAGGTTCTCATCGAAGTCGATCCCCGCATCAAGGAGGATGTTATGGAGAGTGCAGACGACGACGAATTGCTGTGGCAATGTTTCCAGGTTCGTCTTGTGGGTGTGCAAGAACAGACCCACATGCACTTCAGTCGGCCGAACGCCCTCTCCACACACCCCCGCGCCACCTTCTGCCGGTTGTCGAAGCGCTCCTCGTCAGGACATTGGTCTATTCCTCCATACGGCTGCACGATCCATGGACAGGCACCAGGATAACCGTTGTCGCCCAGTAGGTATCCTCGCGTGACGACACCGTGCGGCAAATTCTCTGGAGCTGCGTCGAAGAGCTCGCCAGTCTGCGCGCGCCTCCAGAGCTGGGAATTGTGCAGGACGCGGACATCGTGCACACTCCCCGGGTATCCGACGTGGACGTCGAGGATCCGGAGATCCAAATCCACGACGACCTGCGCCTGCACGAAGAACTTGTGGTTGCGGTCATAGTAGTTGGCAGAAGGTGCGCCGACGGGCTTGTCGATGTAGATGTGTGTGCAGTCGATGGCGCCGAAGCAGTTCGGGAATCCCTTGTCACGGAAAGCGCGGAGAATCTGCGCACGTCTGCGGCCCACTGGCCACTTGATGGCGTCGGGGTGCGCCTGCAGCAGCGCCGAAGTGACGTCGCGGATGAACTGCAGTCCAGTGGCCCTACCGATGCCGAAGGCTGAAGTGCCACTCTCGTACGTCTCCCCGTACTCCCACCTGTACGGCGCGAAAGCGATAACTTGCTTCGCTGGCAATGGCGTCCTGTAGTGCGTGACCTTCTTCTCCACGAACGTAGCGAGAGCGGCTACGATCTGCTTGAACATGGCCATCGACATGCGCAACTTTTGGCGGTAGTACTCGTTCGTGGCGTCATCGCACTGCCGGAGGTCCTCCCATGTTCCGCCAGCACATTGTTTAATCCACCATCGCGGGGTCTGCTGGGGGAAAACGCCAAACGACAGCGCGACACACAATTGGACCACTGCCTCACACGTCGCCACGCAATCCGCCGCTTCGGCAACGCTCTGCGACAACGCTCGTCGTTTACGGAGTTGCTTCGCCACGTCTCGTGACGACGACGACATCTCGTTCATCGTCTTCAGGACGACGGTAGACACCGCCATCGCCACCGCCTCCATCTCTTCTGCCCGCAGACCGTGGCCGCAGTCGCCGCCATCCATCTCCGCAAATCGCTCACCCTCTACACCTTCGCTCCTGCTACAGCCGCCGAAGACACGCCCGCTGCTCAGCGTTGCCACTGGACACCACGCACACTGTGTGACCCGAAGACGTCCCGCAGCTGTGCACTACCTCAGGAGATGGAACAAGCGCGATGCCGAAGACGCGCCCGCTGCTCTACGCTTCCACAGCGAAGGCGACGGCACGTCCGTACGTGAAGATGCGCCGAGCAGGAAGATGCGCCGTGCGCCTCACAATTCCCGCGTACAGCAAAGCTGGTTACCCACGGCGAAGGGGTCGCCACCGCCGTGTCTTGTACGTCACATGCGTCGCCTTGCCTCCAGCCCGCCAGCCTGCGTCCGCCAAAATTCAAATTTCAAATTTTGAAGGTCTCGGCAAGCGCGCGCTTCACTAACCCGTGGGCACCCGCCCAAGGCCCACTGCAGTGTGGACCACAGACACCAGCCAGGACTGGATGGACATCCGCGACGCGACGCGGCTGCGTATACGTCTATGAAAAGGGGCCGCGGGAAACCTTTTAGGAAGATTCCTAAAAGACGATTTTTAGGACTGCGTGTAACGACGCCGCGCAAAATCCAAAAAAACCTTTAGGACTCGTCCTAAATCTTTTAGGATTCTTTTAGGAGTGTCTAACGAGACCCTAAGTTCCCCTAGGGCTTCACCCCAATAGAACCCCTAGGGCTTCACCCCAATAGAACGCCCCATCCTTGTAGCTGTATTTGGTGCAACTTGCAGACTACATACAGCGATAGTGACGGGGCGTTCTGTTCAGGTGAAGACGGTAGTGGTGTGTTCAGTCTTGCGTTGGAGTTCCCAGCGGTTCCTGCCATCCGAACCATCCGATCTGAACACATCTCACGGATGCACTGTTCCTTGCTTTTTCACCAAAACCCTACTACGGATGTCATCCGTCTGGTTCCAGAGAAGGGTTGGAACTCGTCCCAGTATCAACAGTTCATCATGGGTGTACCAGCTGAGCTGGGCCCATTGGGCCCCATTGGTCCCGATTGGAACCAAGGGGCGAAAACGGTCACACTGGAAAAAAAAAAAAAAAAACGGTCACACTGCGGGCAAAAAAAAAAACGGTCACACTGTGTGGGAAAAACAAAAGAAGGAAAAAAAAAAAAAAAAAGACCGGATCCGTGAGCCAAACAGACAAGCTACAATTGGCACGAATTAGAGAACCCTACTCGTACAGCGACTTTCCTGGACGTATCTGGTCTCAATTACGGCTCGACCTGGATATACTTGAACGCAGTCACGTCCAGGCAGGAGGTCAAAGAAGTCCCACCGTCAGAGTCTGCCCTTAGCCCACCTCCAACGGGAAGGGAAAATTGGGCTCTATTGGTAGGCTTCATTGGGCCCCCTACAGTAGGCTTCATTGGGCTTAATTGGCCCCTTGGCTGAACTCGTCCAGTTACATTGTACATTTTTCGCTCACATTGCACAGTCGAGCCGCTGGGAAAACGATTCCACTTTACTGAGTTTACTCTTTCATCTCGGAAAAGGGTGAGAGAGTGAGGGAACACACAGGCAGACAGGGCACACACACACACATACACACGCGCGCGCGCGAGAGAGAGAGAGAGAGAGGAGAAGATGTCGTCGACTCTGCTGGAACAGACGAGAGCAGCACACGAGGAGATCGAACGGCTGGAAAGAGTGATAGTACGAGATTTGCAGCAGGAGATGAAGACGCACAAAGATCGGCTTCATCAGAGTCATCGAGTGAAGAGCTGGGTTGAAACGATGATGGACAGCAGTGGGCGACTGGTAAGTCCTTTCAAAAAAAAAAAAAGAAAAAAAAAAAGAGAAAGAAGAAGAAGAAGAAGTCTTAAAAAAAAAGCCACGCTCGTCAGTCGTTCATCGATGGTGAATGAATCATTTTTTGAGAACTGTCGACGAGGATATGGATAACTGCTGCCATGTGGAAAGAAAAAGAGAGAAAAAAAGGAAAGAAAAAAAAGAAAAGAACAAAAAGAAAAAAGAGAAAAAAAAGAAAAAGAGAAAAAGAAGAAGAAGAAAGAAAAAAACAAAAACAAGAAAAGGAAGAAAACCGATCATAGATAGATTGGATAAACCGATCATAGATAGATTGGATAATTCCTTTCGAGCGTTCAGCCGACGAAGTTATGCATATCTGCTGCCACGTGGCGGATGGTTTGGGGGTAGCCCGGTGGATGTCGCCGTTGATTGATTGGATTCAGGGACCGCCGTTGATTGATTGGAGAGTCCTTCGGCTGGAATTGGGAACTGAGTCATTCGGCGACGAATCTATCGAATGTAACGGGATCATTATTCACGCATCAACTGAATGCATCTGGACCATTATTCCCGCGTAGGTTCACGCGAAGACATGAATATCGCTGATTGATTGGAACAAGTAATGGAGTCCTTCGGCGGAACATCCTCCGTTAAAACTGGAACGTTATAGACTCGGAAGATTAGCATGGATGGCCCCTGCGAAATGAGGGATGACACGCACAAATCAAGTACCCCCCCCCCCCCAAAAAAAAAAAAAAAAGCACGAGAAAACAGAAGTTGTGGAAAAGGAGAGCGTGCCGTCTGTGTTTGCTGTCTGTGGATATTCTTGATTGCCCCTGCATTTTTTTTATTTTCTCGCTCTTACCATGCGCTTGTTTTTGAGGGGGAGCCAAAAAAAAGGCAGAAATTCAAACAATCTGTTTGACGATTTATATATAATATTTTCGTCGTTTATTGACAATGTGTGGATATGTAAACCTGACGGGAAAAAAAAAGAAAAAAAAAAAGGCGAAAACGACATAGAATCGTGATCGCAGCAAAGAGAAGCAGCTGTCAAAAGATTCTCAGCCCATCAATTGTTGTCCCCCTCTCCCCTACTCGGCCTACGGTTCACGGGGCAGCTCTCTATAACGATAAATGTATATAGATGTAGGTATAGGTATAGATATAGATATAGATATATATTTATGTCGTCACAAAGATATCATATAATTCACAGTGTGACAATATATATCGTCAAATAGACATATACATAATATGTGTATGTATATACATAATATATAAATAATATATGTATACATAGATTATGTATGTATATCGTCGTAGAGAACTGGCCGATGACCCGCAGGCAGAGTGGGGGAGAGGAGGAGGAGGAGGAATTAAAAAAAAGAAAAAGAAAAACGAGTGGGAGGCATCATTCCGTGCTTTCTGATTGTCCATCCGTCGATTGCATTCGCGACGCTCGATTAGTCAATCCAACGATTACCTGAATCCGTTGGTTGCCGTTGTATTATTTCCGTTTATGCTTTCCTATTTTGGAAAGTCGTCGAGTTGCAAGTGGGTTCAGAGTCTAGATGTTTGGGAAACCTCGCGCCATCAACTCAAATCTCATCTCATAAAAAAAAAAAACCCTCATCTCATCTGATGAAATAAAATAAAAATAAAATAAAATAAAATAAAATAAAATCAGATGTAATCGAATAATATCAAAATAATCAGATGCAATCAAATTTTGTATTGTTCATTGCCAGGGAAAAAAACGGAAAATATGTAAAAAAAACAAATAAAAAAATCGGAAATATCCTGTCGATGAGGCAGAAGCTTACCAATATGGTGGGTTTTTTTTTTTTTTTTCTCCTGGTTCTTGTAAAAAACCGGAATTTCACAACGTTTGTGGCTGCTGGTCCCCGCCCTCCCCGAAGAGGGAACGGTTAGGCAATTGGGATCCCAAGCCTGAAACCGATTTTCTCAAAGCTTTCTACCCGCCGTAAAAAAAAAAAAAAAAAAAAAAAAAAAAAAAAAAAAAAAAGCATTCCAAAAAAAAAAAACAAAAAAAAAAAAAAACAGAAGGAAAAAAACAGAGTAAAAAAAAAAAAAAAAAAAACTTTCGACGAGAACGGCGGTGTGAGAGGAAATAAATCCCATCCGAGAGTTTTTTTTTCCTCACCTGAAACTGATTCTTCACGATTTGCGTACCAAGCATAAATTTGATGCGCAACGAAAATCCCATCCCCCATCCAATCAACGAAAATCCCATCCAATCAACGAAAATCTCATCCAATCAACGAAAATCTCATCCAATCAAATCAACTAATACATTCCCATCCAATCAAATCAACTAATACATTCCCATCCAATCAGCGAAATGCATCCCATCCAATCAACGAAAGATCTAATCAATGAAAGCTTAAAAGGAATACGCCTATGGACAGATAAGGTATTCAATTGCGTATCATCTATTTAACCTTTTTTTTTTTTTTCTCTCTAGTTTATCCTCGAACGACAAAGTGGCCGTCTATATCGCTAACTATAGTCGACTTTTTTTTTTTTTTTAATTATATTCAACAACTTAACCATCCATCTAGTGCTCTTATGGTCAAGAACGACCGAATCTATCCAAAGGGGCGAGAGCCACAGAGAAGCCTTCTCGTCCCACTTATCCTTCCCGTTCCCCCCTCCCCCCCCTCTTTTCCCCCCTTGTCTCCCCTTTCCCCCTTTACCAACCCCTTCTCATTTACCTGCTGCTTCCCCCTCCTCCCCCCCTGTCTCTTATACACATCTAGATGTGTATAAGAGACAGCCTCTCTAACCGTGCACCAGCGCGGGCAGCGGGCTGTCAGCATTTCTAGACTGATTCTGTCGGCGTAGTACTGAATGTATGGAAGACTGGTTTCCGGTCAGATACACAGGACGAAAAATTGTAGGTGACTTATAGTGTCGGCATCGTCCTGAATGTATGGAAGACAGGTTTCCAGTCAGATACAGAGGACAATAAACAGATGATATAAGGAAAAAACCGCAGATGACTTAATTGTGTCGGCATCGTACTGAATGTATGGAAGACAGGTTTCCAGTCAGATGCAGAGGACAATAAACAGATGATAAAAGGAAAGACCGTAGGTGACGGGCGGTGGAAGCTTTTGATTTATGAACGAGTCTCTCGCAGTCTGGTAGAGGGGGGGGAGGGGGAGGGGAGGAGGGGAGGAATAAAAGGTTCTTATCTTTTTTTTTTTTTTTTGACAAAATATTCAATTCATATATTGCAAAAGTTCAGTTGAGGCCGGGGGCCTCACTATTCAACCCGGAGTTATCCTGGCACCAGCAGCCTTTCCCCCCCCCCCCCCCCCCAAAATTCAGCATCAGCCAGTTTTTTTCTTTTTTTTTCCCCCCCCCCCCTCAAAGTTCAGCATCAGCAAGTTTAGCTTACGGACAATTGCTCGACCCTACGGTACCAACAATTTTTTATTTCCCGGCCTTATGTGTTTTCATGATAATGGATTCCTTGCTTTTTCCCAAAAAAAAAACAAAACAAAACAATTTTTTATTTTTGAGAAACAATCGAAAAAATCGAAACATCAAGCTCACTATTGAAACGAAAGGTCCTATCTTTGTATTTATACATGCAATTTTTTATTTTTGAGAAAATTTTGACCGAAAAAAAATAAAAAATCTGATAGCTCTTTTTTTTCCCGCAAGTTTTTATACGAGTTAGAAATTCAGAAAACTGACATGCTTTTTTTTTTTTTTTTTTTTTTTTTTTTAACATGCTATCTTCACAGATGCTAGCTTACATAGTAAAATCTGAGAGCTTGTGATAAGCGTTTTTTATTAAAAAATAGAATAAAATTGACATGCTCTTTTCGGTATATTTGGGAGAAATTCTTGGATTGGCTCTACAAATGAGGGAAAAGATGTGGTGGCCGCAAATTTTGTCGGGTAGTTTCTTCGTCCAACGACCGGTCGTGCGTTTAGGGTTTGGGTGTAAGGGGGTCAGTGTTTAGGGTTTAGGGTGTCAATCAGGGTTTAGCGGCGGGGAAAGTAGGGCGGGGAAGAGGTGTGTTCTTTTTCTCATCTTTTATTTATTCTTTTCTTTTTTGTAAAGAAAATAAAAAAGGAAAGCTCCGTCGCTCACGGTGGCAAGTCG